AAGCTAAGAGTGGGAGGAGACGACGAAACATTCCATGTATGGAAAACACAATCCATACCAAGTCAAAACATGGAGGTCAACACAAATCGTTTCATCCCTTCCAAGACCATAAACATCATGAAGGCACAAATATTGAGGCCGGAGTGCCCTCCAACATACCACGGGAATGAAAAGAATGGACGGACAACTCCATGACCTCCTCACGATCTCAAAAGGGTAACATTGGTCAAACGTCTTCGGGAGCCCAATCACACGTGAGAGGTACGTTGCGTCCGGCCTATGACGTTAAACTGAGCGTTAATTGGGAGGCAAGCCAACAAATTCAATTATAAATAAATATGTTTAGTTAAATACATATTCATATTTATTTATAATTGAAACCCAAAAAACAAAACAAAACAAAAAAAAAGCATCATCTAAACTCATGTATCATGCATCCCCTACTTTCACAAGACAACCCATTCCGCTATTGAAGATTTCATCCTCCATTACACCCTCCAATGTACATTGAGGACAATGTATCTCAAGTCTGGGGGGGTGCATCTCATGGTTAGTTAAACAAATTGTGTGTGCAAAGTAATTTTTTTAGGAAGGTAAAAGTTGTGATAATTCTCTTTTTAATGGGTATTTGGTTGAGAAAGTTTTTATTATTCACATAAACCTCTTTTTAATGGGAGCCTTTGCGGCACTGAGGTAAATGAAAATGATGAAAATGATGATAAACTATCATTTTTTTTAGATTTATTACACTACTTTTACTCTTGAAAACCATTCACAAAAATAAACCTCGTGACTAGGAAACACCATCTTCTTCCATTTCCAAAAATGGTTTAAGTACATCTCAAATATTCAAGAACCATTTTGGAAAACAAGCTACCCTCATATCTCATCAAATAAATTGGGGTGATCAAAAAGACTTTCAGTAAATGCTTGTTGAGAACCAATTCAAATGAGTCAAAAAAAACTCATGGTCTCTTCCAAGAATTTCAACTGATCCAATTCTATACTTAAAAGTCAAATACACCAAAAAGCCATCCTACACACCCAAAAAGCCTTAGTCACAATCCACTCATCTACTCTCAAGAGTATAAGCAATTTTTCTAAATCTAATGATAGTTTTGTGTGTCTAATAGAAATTTGGTTTTAGACCGAGAATGATAAAGGAGTTTACATAATTTTATACCTCCCTTAAAAATAAAATTATTTTTTTGCATATATTTTTGTTGAACTTAACCAAGGCATCCAAGGTGAAGAAATTGCTCGAGGGCGAGCAATGCTCAAGTGTGGGGGGATTTGATAGCCGTTATATTTACTTGTGTTTAACATAATTATTTATAAGTATTTGTTGAAGAAAATAAGAGAAATCGGGAAAATACCTCCAGAATGAGACGTAGAGCATAAAACATTGTGATGAACGACTTTTTGGACCAATAGAATGACGTTCTGCCCATAATTTGAGTATAACTTATTCTATAGAACTCGAAATCACTCGATTCGAGTTTCATGTGAATACTAACTCAATAAGGTACAAATGTTATGAAGACGTCATGGCCAAAATATGAAAGGAGAAAGATTCAATCAACCAACAAAGTCAGATGTTGCTGGTGGGATTTCACGATGCATACTTCTCGGTGTTTTACCCATATCTTTTGATTGACTGAATAAAATCACGTCATTCAAGTTTTGGTGTATAGAAGACTTCATTATCTACAACTTTGGTGAAGAAATCATGTCCAAATTCGTATCGGAACATCCCCAATGTCCCAGGACAAAACCGGCACCGAAATTTGCACCAAACCCGCGCCGGTTTGTTAATTTTCGCATGGCACAAACCAGTAGCTTACTCGGCACCGGGTAGGCCTTATAACCGGCACCGGGTATGTCAAAATTTCAGATTTTCCAGCGCACTATGAAGAACCGGCGCCGGGTAGGCCTGAAACCGGCGCCGGGTAGGTCCGATTCTGCACAAAACAGTCCAACGTGCAAGAGGATTTTTTATGGGAAAAATTCATCTTTCTCAAGTGTGATCAAATATTGCTTCCATACCTTATTGTTGGGCTCGAATAGACTAAAAGATTCCATTCTTTAGCCTATATAAATCCCTTAATTCATCATTCAAACACATTCCATTTTCATAGATTAATTCCTAGCTTTTATATTTTGTTCTTGCTATTTTTCTTCAAATTCTTGAGGAGGAAACTTCAATCTCCGAAATCATTGGTGTTTAGGTATTATTTCCTTTGTAATTTCATGTTCCATTACATTTCAATATTGTATTGTGATTAATATGAGCATTAGAGGCTAATTTCATAGATAAGGCTAGGGATGAACTTCTATGCCCACTAGGTGTTTGATAAAAAGTTCTAAACCAATAGATTGTGATTTATCCTTTACATTTTGATTGTTTATGACTATGGTGTACAACATAGAAGTATGTTAAATTTAGTTTATGCTTGCAATTAACGTTGAAGTCTAAACTCTGAACATTAAACAATAAACATATATATTACCGAGAATAGAAATATATCTGGTATCGTATGATACGGGTGTGATGTCTTGATATTCAACGGGGTTTTTGGTAGATGAATGTAAGCCGTAACGGGACTTACACGTAACGAAAACCACGCTCTCGCTGCCTTAACCAGAGTTGAGAATATATTAGCGACGTCGTATTCATAATTATTGGTAAATAACTAATATTCAACCCTATTAAAGCATTTAAGTGATTCCCGAAGCCTTAGTTGTTGTTATCAATCACTTTAATCAAATTAATTTAAGTTGTATCCCCGAAAATTAAAGAGAAGAACCAAGTTGTTGTTTTCACAACAACACACAAATCAAAATCCCTGCACTTTATTCATTTCTTTATTTAATGTCATCTACTCTCGGACTAAATTAAACAATGTTTCCCTGTGGATTCGACCCGGTATTTTACCGGAATTTATTACTATATCGGCACGTGTACACTTGCAAGTTCAAACCGATCAAACTCACGATGCGGCAAACGGCCTGGTAACAGCAAACCTTATTTTCTATATGTGTGTGTCAATGAAATGGTATGTTTCCGTGTAGATTAGATGTTATGTTGGACGAAAAAAGGACCATGGTAACCAATATAGGCCATTATTATTAAAACGGATATATGTGTGTGTACATATATTTATATATAAACTCCATCTACAAACAATAAAAAATTTATCGAAACATCAACAATAGACATAAACGAAAGTAGTATAGATATGGGTGAAGCCAAAAGAGTTGCTCTATTAATGATGAGTCGAGATGCAAAAGTACATTTCTAAAACTAGCAAACACTAGCATATGCGGTTTTCTTAGAATGTGTTTATGTTGATTCCTATATACATAGTACTACGTAGCATATTAGTTGTTCGGTGAAATGTTTAAATGAAATATTGTACTACGTAATTTTCAATAGAAACATTGTAGGCAATAGTTTTAGCCATTCCTAGCATATCAGGTATTTCCCATTCCTGTTACTGTTCTTGAGAAATACTTAGCATATCAGGTATTTCCCATTACTGTTATTGTTCTTGAGAAAATTATTAGCCATTGTAGGCAATTTCTGTGGGGAGGAACAAATGCCAAAGTTGTGTGGGTTGATGTGTGTAGACCTAAAGAGGAGGGATGATTGGGCTTAAGAGATTGTAAGGTGTGGAATTTTGCCATGCTTTCCAAAACACTTGGGAATATCTATATGAAAAACGACACTCTTTGGGTGAAATGGGTCCATATTATTTATTTGAGGGGTACCTTTGTTCACTAGATTGATCAGGATTCGGATGATTTGTTAAATGTGATGGGTGGACAAACCGAAATGATCAATAGACTTTATTCTTTTTGTGATAATGGAAGGATCAAAGCTGGTATGGTGTATGACATTTTAAGAACCAAAACTCATAGCAAACCTTGGACGAATATGATTTGGAAGAAATATATCCCTTCTAATAAATTCCCATTTATTGTATGGCTTGGGTTAAGAAATAGGTTGCCGACTTGTGGCAACCCGATGTATATGGATATAGAGAGAAGGTGTTGTTTCTGCAAATTACAGATGGATTCGGTGGAACATCTCTTCTTTAAGTGTCCTGTTGGTAACCCAAGTTCTTTTCACTAAGCCCAATTGTTTGGAGGAGTACCCGGCCCATCATTTTAATCTTTGCACAGCCTGTCTTTGGAACGGCTTTCTCCCTTTTGCGTATCTTTCCTTCCTCGCACTATACTCTGCTTTCTCCTTACTAAGGCAAGTTTCCATGTATGGCGTGTCCGAGCTTTGCCTATTTAATCCCTTTCCCGTCTGCAATTTGTGGCTGGCCCAAACCCTTCCTCCCTATTTCGCAACTATAGCTCCTCCATGGAACCCTATTTGAATTGGCCGAAAAACTTTGATGGTTGATGCCCAATTCTTCCCTTGAGACTTATAGTGGTGATTTATAATTCTTTGTGGGTGTAAACTAAAGAACCTGAGCTGGAATTGTCCCACAACATGTCCATTCACTAAAGATGTGTGGTAGAAGGTTAGAATTTGGCTGAGATTTAGAAGAAATACTAGCTACCACTTTACTCAGCACAGTTAAAATGTGCATCAATCTTTATGGAAGTACAAGGATCATGAGCAAGGCAGTCCGATAATCTGTTTGTTATATTGTTTGTATTGTGTGGAAGGCTAGAAATAAGACTAGCAATTTTTGCGCACATAGTGGTTAGTATGGAGAGTATATTCTTGCAGATCAAAATTTTGCTGTACAAGGTGCTTTTCAAGCTATATCCTATCTCTCTTATTGATTTTTGAAGAGGTCATACTATGTTATATCTTGGTTAGTTGGTTTCCAGTTTGAATGATTTCTTTAAGTGTGATATGCATCTAGTGAGCTTTGTACTATTGATCTTTATGTGTTTATGGTGAAAGCAAGAGGGGGTATGCCCCTGACTGTGATGCACTAAACTTTTATCTCAGGTAATATATTTTTACCATTATTCCCAAAAAATGAGACGAACCATAATTTTGTCTTTTGTCTGATGGAGTTGTTCAAAGGATAAATATGGTGTATAACTCAAAGTAGACTATGAAATAACTCCACAGCCATGGGATGATGATCAAAGACAGGGTGGAATGAGAACATGCAACTATGTACGGACTATATTACACAACCAATTTTGACTCCATCTACATCATTAGTCAACCCAAAAACATAGCCCTGTTTCGGTCATCCCGACAGGATCCCATCTTTCTTGGACGAAGCATTTCTACTGCTGGAGAGACTCCACTGATCGGAAAACGCCACCGATGAAACTCCGGCGGCAACGCCGCCCTTCCCGCACTTCGCCACGGTCCTCACGCTGTCGATCAGCTCCTCTGTGGCGGCCTCGTGCGACAGAATCTCCATCAACCGTTTCGGGCTGATGACTAGCTTCACCTTCCAAAACCCACCACCGTACCCAAGCCCGGAATCGTTTCCTTTCCCGCCGGACAATGACGGAGCGCCGCCGGTGGAAGATTTCTTGAGTAGTATTCCCCGGCGGCTGTCGAACGACATTCTGTACGTGGCAACAGAGAGCGGCTGAATGTGAGGCGCGCTGTTGGATCTGACGTGTCCGATCTCGAATGCCGGCGCCGGCGTGGCCTCAACGGCGCTCCTTCTCCGGCTGCTGCAGTTCTTGTCGAGTGGGAGGAGATAATAGGAGTTTCCGGCAAGGAGGAGTTCGTGGTGGGGCAGGGGATTCCAGAAAAGGTCGTGCCTCCTGAAGATGCCGTGGCCGGGAAACTCGTCGGCGATGGACTCCACCGTGATTGGCGCGAAAAACTCCATGACGCCGTTGGTGGAGGTTATCACCTTAATGGCACCGCCGTTTCCGGCGACGTCCCCTGCTACTCCTCGGAACAAGCAACTCCCCATCTTGTTATTTGCTGTTCTGTTTTTTAATTTGTAGTTGTAACTTTTCATTGAGTGAAGGCAGGAAGGAGGGTTTTGGAGTTTATAAAAAGGAGGGAAAGTTAAGACTGAAATTCGTTGGTGGAATTCCTCTTTGGCAACAAAAATACGTAGTATTTATTATCTGTCCAACCAACATTATATCAATATATCACATGACATTAAATCCATTAGATCAGAACAAATTAAAGTGTTTAGGTTAGATCAGAATAGAAAATTAAGAAATTGTTGAGTAAAAACATTTTAAAATCCCAAAATAAGACTTTCATGTTTTTATTCTCTAAATATGAGTAATTCTATCAAGTTTGGAAAAAATTTACTCTTATTCAGATAATAAAAAACATGTTAGTCCTAATTTGAAATTTCAAAAACTTTTTTAATCATATTTAGGAAAATTTTCAATTATGTGATTAAAAATAGTATATAAAGAGAAAAGGTTTATATAATACTACTACTACATATCAAAGTACTTCGTATATATGAATATAGAATGTCCAGATGGATAAATTCTTGAAAACATAAAAAGAAAACGAGAAACAAAAAATATAAAGAATAAAGGTTAATTGCATATGTTGTTGCTTGTTCACACAATATAAAAATAAAAAGAGAAGATGAGTTCCCTTTTACTTTTCCTTTATCAAAAAATGAAATAAACTGGGCCATCTAAACGCTGCCCTTTTGATTCTGCGCTGTATTATTTTGTTCCAAGCATTTGTTTTGTTTACACTTTAGTGTATCCTTATATTACACCGTACATATTGCCGTCGACTTGTTGATCATTAAAATTTTGAAGACTTGGCTTTCAATTGTTGCTTTGTTTGACTGTTCTTCTTTTTCAAGGCTATTTAATTTCCTTTGTTCATACAACCCAAAGACTTGGCGACAGGATTTGCTTTGCTTTAATTGCGTTGTTTCTCCATCTTCTTTCGGTTTTCTCAATTCTATAACAATATAACATGTTAGAGTATGCTAACTACATTACTAGCTACTTCTAGGAGTATAATAATGCTATATATATTGGGCCCGTTTGGAAAACAACGGATGCTTCAAACCGCTGAATTTTTTTTAACGTGAAATCGCTGCTTTTAGCCGCGGGTTGGTGCAGATCCGCCAAAAAACAAACAACACCATTGAGAAGCAAATAAGAAACTTCATAAAGGAGGGATGGTAAATCCAACAATAACACTAATTTGGTTAAGTGGAACATTAATTAAACCCAAACCCTATGATGGCGTGCCAACTCACATACATCAGAGAGAACATGAAGCTCCATGATCTTGGAAAAAATAGGGTGGGAAATAAAATGCCATTTATACATGTTTTTGTGTACACACCCCTGGCCTCTACATTTTGTAGATATCGGGAACATTCCGTCTATATCACAGGCGATCCGTCGAAAATATAGAAATTGTTAGTGATTTTTTATTAAACGTTTTTATATAAACAAGATATACGAAATTTGTACAAATAATGTGTACACCAAACATTATTCACTAGGGTGACATTACTGGAAGACATTACTGGAAGTAAAAACAATTGATCTCACTTACTAGAATAGGGAATCTTACTAGAATTTTCACTATTGCCCGTTGGCCGTTGCATGAGATGCATCATTCAATTCCTTACCAAATACTACGTATATACTATCTATTTGATAAAGAATATGTAAGCTCTTAAAGTTTAATTGAGAACAACATATTAGAACACATTGAGAAATGGAAAGTTAAGACAATTTCTCTCTTGCAATGAACGTCCATATTAGTTAGAAAAAACTACTGACCAAAAGAGGCGGTGATTTCTAAAGTACAATCAGATAGTTTTTTTTTTTTTGAGAGTACAATCAGATAGTTGTTATTCATATATATTAATGGTGTTTATATGTAGAGTATGTATCTTGATCCGATTTTCTCTCTCTTGAATTCAATTATTAGTTATATAGAGTAATGCTCAAATTTAGTCATGTATTAGGAATCGATGGATGTATGTCTTTGGGGATGTTTTTTACTTGGGCCTGTTAGGCCCAACCTTACAATAGGTTTACTTATCTTTTACGGAGTATTAGCTCTTTTATGTACAAGTGCTTGTTAGGCCCAACCTAATAGCCCAGCCCACTTGTTTTCTAATTGGAGAGGGGTTGGATTCATCATTTCTATAATCACGTATGTATTTCTCTCTATCTCGCATCTCTCTCTAGAATAATAGTCTATCACCAAGTATTCTAAAATAAGAAACCTCACAAAGACACTTATACATCTTTTTTGCTTGTATTGTCTTGATCGGACTATGATCGTACTCACAAATGAAAAAGGTTGAATGAATAGAAAGAGTAATGCATATTTATAGAAGATATCGTTTGAATGGAGTAACATTAAAAACTACTTAATGGCATTTTTCATTTCTCTACAATTTTGATTTCCAAACAAAGCATAGAAGCCTTGAAGAATAACAAAAGCTCATATTAGGGAGGTTGCTATAGCTAGACAAGTATTTTTTGCTTATTTAGATAATGAACCTTTAATAGTGTTATCAATTAATGGATTCCACTAGATTTATAACTAATGCCCTTTGTGAGTTTGTGTGACCATATTGTTTATCATATTCCTTGGCTCGTTTGCCTGTTGCCAAATTTACAAAGTTAAAAACCTCATACTACAATTAAACCATATTATCATCATCCCAAATAGTAAGAGCAATCATCACTCGACTTGATAAAGAGCTCCTCTCAAGTCTTGATGTTTTTTCGAGAATCTTTTCAATGTTACGATTGTTGTAGTATCCAACAGTAGCCAGTCCAATTTGATTTTGATCAGTGCATGTTTGATCTTGAGTGTTAGATATAACATTGACCTATTTCACTTTTGTTTAAAAATCTCTGTTTTATGTTTACTTTTAAATCCAAACATAGAAGAGGAATGTTCATGTCAGGCCGGCCTGACGGGCTGCCCCGTCCGGCCGAGCCCGTTTGGGCACCTTCCCGGTGGAATTTTTTGATGAAATTTTTTGAGCATGTTCCTCATCAAGTCTAGTTTATCCATACCAAATTTCAGCTCAAAATTCGATCGGGAAGGTCGTCAAATGATTTTTGCAAGTTAACTGGTCTGGAATATGTATTTTCCGGACCAGTTAACTTGCAAAAATCATTTGACGACCTTCCCGATCGAATTTTGAGCTGAAATTTGGTATGGACAAACTAGACTTGACGAGGAACATGCTCAAAAAATTTCATCAAAAAATTCCACCGGGAAGGTGGCCAAACGGGCTCGGCCGGACGGGGCAGCCCGTCAGGCCGGCCTGACATGAAGAGCACTCAACATAGAATCCCTTACATTTAAAAGTTTGAGTTTAAAACTAAACCAATACAGTCAATCTTTAAAACAAGGCTTAAGGGTCAAATAGGTCAATGTGCTCGTCTAGAATGCTCTATTTGGCCCCTGAAATAAAAATAGCACCAATTGACACACCGAACGCGATAAAAAGATCTAAATGCCACTTTTTTATAGGTAATATTTTGGTCACCACCACATCTTTCAGTAAGGTAACAATTATGCATCTAATGTGACAAATTAAAGGGTCAAATATGCCTCTGATTATGCCTACGTTATATTGTATATATAAAGTAAACAACTAATATCTATGCCTACTCTCTCTCTCTCACGTATGTGTGTATGTACGTACGGATACATACATATCACTTTTTTTATATATGAAATATGGAAAAAGGTATAAGATTCTAATTTACGAAGTAGTTTTTATTTTTATTTTGAATTTACATCAAATGTGTTCTATTTATATAATATTATATGTAGTATATTATATTATAGTCAATATTATAAGTTATGGTGTGTGTGTCAATCCATATTTAGTATTTGATGTGCTGCAAGTTAGTTTATTGTTTCACTATCTTTTTGTTGTTATAAGATAAGTCCTCTCAGTTTCAAATTGTGTAACATTGGATCTTTTTATAAATGGTCTCATGACAACTCCGTTTATAGACTATCACAAGTTAATTTGAATATAATTTTCAAAATAAACAAATTCCGAAGCTCATGTATAAATACTATAGTTCTTAAATTTACATTGAAAACGAATATGTTATAAACACCCTCGGATACACAATTGTATTCTTTTTATATAATTTATGATTCATAGCAATTAATTAATTTGTACAATTTTAAATATTTATTGATAATCCCATAAGATTTTGGAGAGGTGCACGATGGAGTATACGCACTCATGTCCATGACCTACATACTCATGGATATCTACAACCGGCCCACTCGGGCCCTTCACTGGAATGACTCAACCCACCTCTCAAATAGTATCTGAGCCAATGCTCGACCTAGACCACAACCTAGACACCTCAACACAACAAATCACCTAATAACTTCTGAAGCATACCAGGCCAAACCCTTGGCCTGGACCCTCATCCTCAAGCACCTTGGCCCCACTAGGGACTTCACAAGAAAACATGCAATATCACTATCCTCCAACAAATATGAGGACGAAGTGCACCTAGCATATCATCCACTACATAGAACTGATAGAAGTTCAAGGATGCCATTGTTGTCATGTATAATCATTTCAAACGTTTTAGGGCTTGCCCCATATACTAGCTACCTCATACATGTAGACGCATATTGTAACACTTGCGATTTAATTTAATGATGACAACTCCGGTACCTTTCTAAAAATAGAGGTACCGTACCTAGCATTCATTTGATTGGATCACATCACTTTATCAATTTTAATTTAGATTTAAATAATTCAACTGCTACCTTTTCATTGGTCCATGTGGACAAAGGTATGGTACCTTATGGGTACCATAGAAACTACCTTAATTTAAATTGATTAATAGTACTACTCATACCAACAAGGTGGACCTTCTTTTAAGGAAGCTTATCAGCTAAGAATTCTAAAGTTAAGCGTGCTTGCACGGGAGTAGTCTTGGGATGGGTGACCCCCTGGGAAGTTTCTCGGGCCCTACAGGGCGGGGTGTTACAGGTGGTATCAGAGCAACCCTGCGACAGTGTGCTGATCATGATCCTTTGGATATCAGGCGGGGCACTTAGCAGGGGA